GGGGGGGGGGGCATGCTCAGACCGCCCCGTGTAACTCAACAACCACCTATCGTAGGGCCGACAAATTTTCAGAGAATGGTGTAGTAATAGAATTAGTTGATAACAAGAATTTTGCGTAATTATGACGTCACTATGACGTCATATGTTTTTTATAAAACCGTCAAAAATTCAATTCAATTACAAGCATAATAATAATAATAACAATGATAAGGCTAAATAGAGAACATATGAGAAATACCAGTAAGTAAACACAGCACAATTTAATAGTAATATTACAAACGAATAAAATATTGAACAATAAGATTTGGTGAAAAATGTATTTCAGGTAGATAATGAGAGTAAGCGGTCTGTATGTACTATGGGGAACTGGGATGAATGATGACATATGTTTTCAGCTTACTCTTAAATGACAGAATTGATGGTATTGATTGGATATTTGAATGGAGACTGTTCCTTATTATGACACATTTGTATTTACTAAGGACTGTACTGTTAAAGTGCGAAAAAAGAGGAATATGTAGTTGGTGGCTTCGCCTGGTGTTATAGCTATGTACAAGTGAATTGGGGTTTAGGAAGTTATCAAACATATTGGGAAGATTATTGGGAAGGAAGTTGTCTTTATTTCCTTTGTTGCTGCCATGAGATTCTGATTCTTTTGATCTTATTTAAATTACTGTTTCTTTGGTCTGAAAAAAAACAGCGTTTTCAGTCTTTTTGCCAGATTTGTGCATAGCTTGTACGACGCCTTCCAAGTATTGTCCGAACTGCTTTCCATTGTACCTCTTCGACTTTGTCTAATTGCGCAAAGTTACATAGTATTCCTACACTGGATGTACAAAAATGCCGTACAAATAATGCATATATGGGGAGGTTTTATTTATTCACATATGTTTATTGAGTATTAGGCAGGAAGCAAACGTTGCTTATATAACACCTTCTACTCAAAACATACAACGAGTAAAAAAAACACATTGACGAGATACATGCATAATTACAAAGTGGATAAGGAGATAAATACAAACAAGACAAATTGGTGATCTATCAATTACGAGAATCTAGCGATACAGTAAATTGGTTAGTCAATTTCAACGCTAAAAAGGAAAAAAAAAACTCCTCTCCATTAACAGATACCGGGAACCTTTTCTTCCACCTATATCCATGAATGGCAACGAGTTGCCGGAGAGTCTCCGTCTCCTAGGTCTTTTTCTCTTTAAGGATTTGTCCTGGAGATACTACATCGAATCCATACCCAAATCAGCAGCTATGAAAGTAGGCTCACTGCTTCGAGCCAGAAACTACCTCACTCATGCAAGTATTTTGTATCTGTACAAATCCACCATCCGCCCTTGCATGGAGTATTGCTCGCATCTCTGGGCTGGTGCCCCAAAAGATTGCCTACATATTTTAGACCACATATTTTAGCATCTCCTGACATAACTACATTACTCACTACACTAAAATATTTGGCTTTGCATTAAGCGACACCATTAAAAAAATGAAGTTTTAAACTATATCGAAAACATAACAGTTTTGTAGGTGGGAGAGTGATGTGGACCTTCGAAGTAGTAAGGAACATAGGGAACTGTCATTGAGATGCTGTAGCTCTACTATGTTTGAGAGAGATGATAACAGAGTACTTCTTTGACTGGAATACAGTTTACAATGTAGGAGGTAATGTTCAGTTGTTTCGCTATGATAGCCACATTTACATGTAGGGTAGTCAATACAATAATGTTGAAATATATGGTAGTTTAACTGACTGAAATTAAGACGGAGCCTTGTGTGATGAACAGCGGAGTGTCTTTGGCCATTAGAGAAGTGGAAGTGAATCCAACTCATTTTTAAAGCAATTAATTGTGAGAGAGGCTTGGATATTGGGGGGTAGATCATTCCATATATAAATAGTTGAGGGTATGAATGACTTTTTATACTTTTCAGTTCTACAAGCAATAGGGGAGAAATTCTGGTTGGCGCGAAGGTTATATGGCACAGAATCACGAATACGTGATGGAATAAGATCTTGTAAATGAATGAATGAATGAATACTATGGTGCAAGACCATTTAAAATTTTCCAAACTTGTATCAGTTTATGTTTTTATCCTTTTGTCAGTCAAAGTATCCCATCCAACCTCGGCTAAGACGCTCTGGTGTTTAGTGCCTCTCATGGCTCCAGTAAACACCCGTGCCGCTGACATTTGTACAGACTCAAGTAGATCAAAGTCTTTGCCAGAAAGACTACACCATACAATATCAGCACATTTAAGTAATGGACGAATCATAGTACTATACAATGTTTCCAATGTTCCACGGGGGACAAAGTACGATATTCTCTTTAAAAGATTGATACGTTTTATTGCCTTGGTAATCAGAACTGACACGTGATATGACCAAGACAAGTCACGTTTCAGGTGTAATCCCAAGTGCTTGTGAGAGTCAACTTCTTCCAGCTTAACACCTCTACACACTAATGGCGGGTGATAGACTAGATCTTTTTCAAAGAGAATGTCATAAGTTCAGTTTTAAAAGGATTAAAAGTTACCAACCACTGGTCAGACGTTCATTAGCTATCCCTGTCATTCTGGTGGCCGTGTCTCCCATTTATATAGTCTCCAATTTAATAGCAGTTATTTAGGAAAGAGTTTTCTTCAGGAAATTCAACCCCCATAACGTTTCAGGGTTACGGTTAAAGCCATGGTCCAAAAATATCTCCGTGTAAGGCAGGATTTGACCTTGGGTCACGTGGGGGCCAAAGTGGGGGAACGGCTGTCATACTGTAGGTCTTAAGCTTCTCCAGAAGAGCTTGAACCACATCCGGGTACCTTGTAGAAAGATCTGTTCTCTCCTGAGGGTCGTTGCGGATATTAAACAGCCAAAGATGTTTGTCAGGAGGGTCATCCGGTTTTTCAAAGTGATTGCCAAATGTTTCTCGGTGTTTCCATCCACCACGGTCTGTTGAGAGAAGATTTATAAAATTTTATGTTAGTTAACTGAGTCAAACTGGGCACAATAGTCAGCTTTTTTTATCGGAATCATGTTTGACGATTTCTGTCATGCGGCGTAACACCAGCTTCGCTGGTACGAGGTACAGGGGCAGCTGGCTACATTACAATTACCGACTTGTTACACCTAACCCTTGAACTCTAAACATTTTTAAAGCAAACTAATAATAACAATGTCCCTACTGTACTTGGTGACAGTAGGTTCTACACGGCGATATGATATGTTTCACTTGCTGTAATTTATCCAAATTGCAATTTGGTGGTACCGGATTATTAATGTCAAAACTAAGTAAACAACGATACCTTCTATTTTTATACTGTCTAAAGATATACTTGTTAAAATATGTTATTCAATTCTTTTGAAGTGGCATCATTGATAAGGAAATTCTGTAAACCTGCTTCGTTTTAATAATTTAACTTCTGTGTCAGTTTTGTGTATGTAACTGAAAACCCGAAGAAAAAAATGGCAGGAACTATGTCATTTAAGACATTCTCTGCCCATAAAATATCATTAACCTTATTTAGACTGGGCGTTTTACCTCCATGAAAATGAAGGTATTGTTTTTGGCGCGTCTGTTTGTTTGTTTGTGTGTGTGTGTGTGTGTGTGTGTGTGTTTGTGTTTCCGCACATTTGTAGTCAGCATAACTTCATAACTACTTTATGGATTGTGATGATATTTAGTACATTGGTAACTCTTAGGAAGACGAATGTCAAGGTCAAATATGGGCCTTCTGGCGGATGACCTTGGTACTGCAGCAGAACTTACGGTTTTTGTATCTTTTGTCCTAAAAATGTGATGGTCTTGACTTTTTGGTGACAGATAGCTTTTTTGTATGGAATAAGTGGCGTGAGTTTGGTCCCCCTAGCAGCTTGTTCTGGAGACTTATTGCAGGTCACTTTCAGTTGAGAAAGACATGTACATGATTAACTGCAAATTATGCAAATGAGGAATTAATTTGCATAATAAAGGAGGAAATTCTATAATTACAGTGTTTTATATAATAGTACTCTTATACATGTAATCTATTTAATATGTGGCAGGAGGAACATCAACAGATACCAATAATGCAAATTATGACCTGATTTGGATAATTAATGTGAAAACTCTCTTACTCCTTATTGGTGAATGATGAGAATATACCTTGTGACATGTGCAAGTAA